GCTAGTTGGCTGACAGTATGTTTTACCACAGACGTGGTCTATGTTACAAAGGCGTGTCCATGAGACTTACTCAGAGGCTTTAGCCTTGAATTAGTCACCCAGACACAAGGGCGAGGTGATAACGCTTCGAGTAGCACATATGGGGTGACTTAAGTCGAGTGGAATATGTGAACCAGAGAGATCGCAGACGGATATTATGGGGCAAGAGGGAGACTGTGACAAGACTTAGGGAAGGAGGACTGCGTAACAATATGGCAGACTCTAATTAACCTTCCCATTATAAGGGTGAAGGGGGTTGCGAACCTCAGCATTGAGTGTGGAGGGTTTTCATGATTGCCGCTCGAAGGAGCACATCACACTATATCTAAATAAGCACGGTAAAAAATTGTTACAGTGAAGACGTGTTATAAGGATATAGGAAATGTGAATATCCTTAGTCTGGAGAGGTACCACAACTGTTTAGCACACGTTTGGTCAAAGGATCGGCATTACTTGTCTCTTTGACGAGTTGTAGTGTGATGCTAAGACTGGGAAGACTCACTGGCGATGCCAAATACGATGCCGGGTAAACGTCTGGGAATGTACCACGTCCACGGTCCGACTTTGGAAATGATCATACATACAATGGACTCTGGATTAGGTGCATTCCTCTAGGTCTTGCGGCAGTTATTTTCATACCTTAATAAACTAGTGTATGATCCTCTAATGGTGACTTATGTTTATAAGGCTGGAACAGCCTCGAGTCTGTTTATTGCGACACTGCCCTTCTCTCCTTCATGAACATATTCTTCTCGAGTCAAATCTTGAGACTAGTAGGCCCTACAGCTAAATCTCTATATTTAGTTTATGCATCAATTATTATCTCAATGGACCATCATGCCTTTTCAGACGACTAGGAAATCTACGACTTCCGAATAAGGCGATCATGTCCTTGCCTTAGAGGCGGTAAATGGCTTAGTTTCAGTAGGTATAATCCACAACTATGGATTAAATTAATCGATTTTATTTTCAAGATTTATCAGTTCAGCTGGTATGAAACTGAACCCCTTATAACAGTTGTTTGACCTTATTTTCGTAACCTGGTCATATTGGCAGGAAGACTTAGAAGAACGTATCTTGTTCGGAGTCCATATTATGCCTGATAATATCCAAAATCGGATCTTGAACTTGGTACATTCCCAATCCACGCTACGACTCTGGAAATTATCATACATACTAGTGAAGATAAGGTCAAACAACTACTATACCTCAAAAGAGGGCTGTGACCAAAGTAGAGGCCAAAACATCTTGGTCTTCGTATCTACGTTGACACTAACAAGTTGTAACTTTGCTTACGATGGCACCTCTGACTGACGATGCTGGCGAAACGTTTGGGAATGTACTAAGTCAATGGTGGAAATCACGAATACTATAGCAGAGGACACGGGACTAGCTACGTTCCACAAGGCCTCCCTGACGCTCCGACTAAGTTGCCAAAACAATGTTGAACCAACACAACAGTCGTTGAAGGAAGGAAGACCAAGATGGTGTGGCCTTTTGTGTGGTCTCATCTCCTTTCGTTGTATAAAAGTTGTTTGACCTTGTTTTCGAAACTTGATCATATTGGTAGGAAGGCTTAGAGGAACGCACCTAGTCTGGAGTCCATTGTATGCATCATAATTTCTAGAATAGGACCGTGGACGTGGTACATTGCTAGACGTTGCCCTAGCATCGTCAGTGAGTCTCGCCATCCTTATAATATTATATGGTGTAATATGATGCTAAAAATGGCGAGATTCACTGACGATGCCGGCGAAACGTCTGGAAATGTACCACATATACGGTCCGACTTTGGAAATGATCATGCATACAATTGACTCTGGACTAGGTGCGTTCCTCTAGGTCTTCCTACCAATATGACCAAGTTGTGAAAACAAGGTCAAACAACTTCTATACAACAGTCGCTGACTTACTATTCAACTCAGTTTGCCATCAACCTCGGTTGAGACCTCCAAACAAGGTCAGAGAAGCCAAATCTGTATTCATTGGCGTCCCCTGCATATTTTTTCTCAAAAAGGATAGAAGCAAATGAAGATCCTGCAGCGAGGTAGGTGACTGGATTCTGTCATGGCTCAATACAGATACCATCTACAAAATGTTACAGATGTCGCTTTAGCTTCAAACGAGAAAAAAATTTCTTTAAAATTAATTTCGAAACAGCTTATTTCAAGATCATATTAATGAAACAGCCTTTCAGTTTATTCGAATTTAACGGGATGCCTTTAGTGCCGAGAAACGCCTTACAGACGTTCAATAGGCTAATGGACGAGTCCAGTATATGTTTAGAAGAAGATTTATTTTACTATGATGATATTTTAGTCTGGTGGCATCCTGGAACAGTACAGACAGTACTTTTTCGTTCTTTCTATGAGATCTCTTCATCATAAATTAGTGACCTCTCTTAAGAAGTGTTTTTGCGTCGGCTCAATCACTTCTTTTTGACATTACACCGATGCTCACTTGATTTTACTAAACCGGGAGAGGGCTTTGAACATAAAAATTTTCTATTCTAAGCATCGTCAGGGCCCTAAAATGCTTTCCAAGCATCGATATATTTTACCGTCATTTCATTTCGAACTGAGTAGACATGCCGATCCAATTGAAAGAGTATTAAAAATACAGATAAAAATAATCGCTTCCTCCTAATATACGCAGCTTGTTTTCTAACATATTAAATCAGCTCTTTCCAAAACACACAATGCTGATCTCACCAAACTCTGATGCTAATCTCAACCTTGGGACCGTCGTCTCGGATTGTAATATGGGTGAGGAACTGTGTCAAGTTTGTGATGGAACTCCTATACCTCTTGCTTTATGTTCGCTAAAAATCGTCTTATCTGATCATAATCTGCACGTCTAGCCTTGAACTCTTAGCGGTATATAGATAGGTGAAATACTTCAAGCATATGCTCATTGGAAGACAATTGCATGTTTACTTGACCATAAGCTCTTGTATGGATCCTTTTAAGCGCTTTTGATAAGTTTTCTTCATGCGAGGTCCTCAAGATGGACTGCATCACACAATCCTCAGCGATATTTGCTACGTAAAATGGGTAGACAACATCGTTGCAGATACTTTCTCCCGCATCGACCAAATTTCTGCTGTATTTCACACCAGTCATATCTGAGACACAATAACGGAAGCACAGTCGAGTCACCGCTCACCAGTGGCCCAAACTGACCCTGATACAATGGGAAATTCCGGAGGATATCAAGCTCTAGTGTAATGTGCCTACAGGTAGGCATCGTCCCTTTCACCTTGAGTAACTTGGTTTTCCAATCCGTTTATGATTTGGCACATCCAGTTATAAGATCTTCCAGGAAGCTAATCACAAATCGTTTTGTCTGAGCAGTGATGCGAACATATATCAGTAAATGGACCAAAGCCCGCAACCTATACCAAAATAACAAGTTATACAGACACACTAGAAGCTCGATCGGCATATTCGGACTAATAACAGATAGGTTCAGTCATTTGCACATGGACATTGTCGGGTTTCTATCGCACTCCAAGGGCAACCGATATCTATTTACGATCATTGATCATTCAATGCAGTTGCCAGAGGCTATGCATATTATAGACGTTCAAATGGAGACTGTGACCAAGGCCTTCATTTTACTTTGGGTCTCCAGATTTGGCACTCCAACAACCATCACTATTGACAACTAGACACTTCAAATTAGAACTATTCACCTAACTATTTGAACAATTATGTGAAAAAGGGAATTACATTTTGACATATTACTCACAAGCTAACGGTTTCATCGAACGTTTCCACCGTCAACTAAAGGCCTTTTAACGATGCCAGAAATATCCTGATACTTGAACAGACAATCTTTTATAATATTAGGTCTAGGAGCCATCATGAAGGGAGACATCAAATGGAGACCGGCCGTGATGGTTTACGAATGTCAACTACGCCTACCAGGTGAATTTTATGCCTCTAGGAAAGTTAGCCCTTCCTTAGTGGACTTGGTAAAGAATCTGGCAGACGACGGAGGAACTGTGTAACATTAATTTAACACCTAGCTCATTTAGAATGGTATCTCCAAAAGGCCTTTTAACATCCCAATATTTTGCATACAAGACGGCCATGTACTAGCACCTTTTTCAACACTGCAATGGCCTGCTTAAAAGGTGACGATTCCTTTTGTTTAAAATAAAGGGTCATCAGGAGGTTTTAACTACAGACCATTGTCTGCAACTATTGATGATTCCGAACCCCTCATAGGTACAAGGAAGTAATCACCGAGACTTTTACAAACGGGAAGGAAAACGGACTTACTTATTTTTTGGAACTCATAATTAGATTGCATTTCGCTTCCGGAACCTAAACCTTGTCGTGTTATTACATTTCCCGAGACTTTCTCTTATCAGGTTAATATCTCGGAGTCGGTTGTTGTTGTGATATTTCGCTACGTTCTCAATATTATTGTTAGTTTCTTTACTTTACACACACACACACCCACAGCTATCGCCTAACACTAGTTTTACCATAAAAATCCCTTATCTATATCATCCATCCGCACTCCTAGTTTGTGTCGGTGATCAAATCTTGCCATATTTTGAGCTTTCTCTTTGGAACGTTTAGACGCTGTAAATACAAATGACTCAGGTTTTTTAAACAGATTAGCTACCGCTTTTCCTCTCCCCTAAAATCCTCCTTGATTTAGCGGGCTAGGAGAATATCTCACTTAGATAGCTCTTATCCATTGCTTGTCGCGGCGCCTCAACATTCTCATATTATTGGTTCGACCTTGCTTTCACAACTTGGTCGGAGCGTCAGGAAGACCTTGCGGAACTTGCCTAGTCCCATGTCTTCTGGCATTCTATTCGTGATTTACAGCACAGGACCATTGGCTGAGTTCATTCCCAAACGTTTCACTGCCATCGTAGTCGGCATCGTCAGTGAGAGGCACCATCGTAGACACAGAATTACAACTTATCAAAGTCTTAATTGGCTTGTCACTTGTAACTCTATGCTTACGATGACGCCTCTTACTGACGATGCCCGCTAAACATTTGGAGATGTACCCAGCCAATGGTCCAAAGCTGGAAATCACGAATACTATAGCAGAGAAAACGAGACTAGTTTCGCTCCGCAAGGTCTCCCTGACACTCCGACTAAGTTGCGAAAACAAGGTCGAACCAACACAATAAAGTTAAAGAAGACTGTGACTAAACAGAAGGCCAATCCATCTTGGCCTTCGTATCCAAGATCCTTATACTGGTTTGTAATTTGCCGAATTCTATATAACTTATTGCGGCATCACTATTCTTCCTACTTCTCTGAACATATTCTTTAGTCAAATTTTTACAGTTTCTTGCATCTACAGACACTTTTTCTAGAAAATATTCTAGTTCTCAAATGAAATTAATAGATAACTAGACGCCCCTATTGCTCCTTTATAAGATTACATATAATATTTTAGTTGTTTGACCTTGTTTTCGCAACTCGGTCATATTGGTAGGAAGACTTAGAGGAACGCACCTAGTCCGG